CTCCTCGTCACACCTCCCTCTCCCCCTTCTCCTCCCACTCTCCCTGCTGCTCCCGCTGCCCACCCTTCTTTCTCTCTGGGTGTGAGGACATCGGTGAGGGCGGGACGTGGGAGGGGGGAGGAGAGAAGGGGGGAAAGAGAGCAGCGAATAGAGGAGGGATTGGGGGGGGGCGAGGAGAGCAGGGTGGAGGAGGAGGATGAGGAGGAGGAGGAGGAGGAGGAGGAGGAATAGGGGGAGGGGGAGGGGGAGGGGGGAGGACACCGAGGCGCAGGTCAGGGAGGAGAGGCTCCCCCCCCCCCCCCCCCCTCGTCTTCCTGTGCCGACTTGTATATTTCCCATTTCTCCTCTCCAGATTTCCCGCGGGGGCGCGAGGAAAGCTGCGCTTCGCGCGTCGCGGCCCGGGCCAGAGAGGCTGCCGTTCTCTCGGGGGCCAGCGCGAGGGTGCGGGTGCGAGAAGATCCAATCCGTCGCGCGTCGCGGGGCGCGGTGCGCGGAGCTGGATGGCGGAGCTTCTCTTCCTTCCCCCCTCCCCAGCCGAAAAGAGCAGAAGGGGGGAGGGGCTGAGAGGCATGGCGCCCTCCTCGCATGTGCGTCGTCACCCCTCCAGCGCCCCCCCCTTATTCTTCCCGTCGTTCCCCCCTCACCCGTTAATCTCCCTGTTTCCACTTTCACGCTCCCCCTTCTGTGATCCGCCTCCGCCTCCTCCTCCTCCTCCTCCTCCTTCTCGTCCTCTTCCTCCTTGTTCCTTGTTCCTAATGGCAAGAGTGTCTTCAGACGCTGCCGCTTTCCCCAGGGCTGGCCCAAAGCCAGCCCTGGGGGAGTATAATGAAACAGAAGAACGAGGTGGCGGGTGCCACTGTCCGTGATCGGAGGCCGGCCATACCCGGCAAGTGGGAAGACAGAAGGGCCTCTCCCCACTGACATAGGAAGTCCCCCGAAGTGACCCACATCCCCGCGACTGGTACCCTCTGCAAGGCGGCCGCGGAGACGGCGGAGCCAGGGGGGAAGGGAGACGGATGATGATGAAAAGGGAGCGGGGGTGAGAGTGGTGGCGCTGGCGAGGTGCTGGTTGCGGGTCAGCGACTGGAAGGGGAGGGAAGGCATGGCGAGGCGGCCCACGGTTCCCATGCCTCCGGCCATGGATTCACAAAAGCGGCGGCTCACCCTCTCGTTCGTCGTGAGGGCCGTCGGGTGGGGGGCGTGGGGGGCCGTCGGTCGGGGCAGAGGGGCCGCGGTGGCCTTCGTGGGGGCCGTGGGGTGGGCGGGACGGGATCCAGTCCTGGAGGAGGAGGAGGAGGAGGAGGAGGAGGAGGAGGAGGAGGGGGAGGAGGAGGGGGAGGAGGGGGAGGAGGAGAAGAAGCACCGCTCTGGCTGGTCGATCTCTCCGGGCCGTGGACGGAGGCGGCCTCTTGACCCCCGGAGCCGGCCCCTGCCGCAGGGTGGTGTACCCTGCGTGCGGCCGGCAGCTTTCCGGGCGGCCTCCCGTGCCTCGAAGCGCACGTGGCTCAGAGCGTGAATTACCCCACGCCATGTGGGGACGCACGCACTGCGCCACTGTCAGTCCCCCACGCCTCGTGCCTCCTACCTCTCCTCCTCCACCTCCTCCTCCTCCTCCTTCTCCTCCTCCTCCTCTCCCCGCTTGCCCCCCTCATGGCCCGTGCTTTTTTGACTCTCAGAGCGTGAATTACCTACCCCGCTTTCGCTTCCAGGCAGAGCCAAGCCATGCTACGCGCCTCCTCGTGGAGCGGCCTGGCCAGTGCAGGCTGCAGTTTGGCATCGTTTGGTATCTCTTGGAGGCGAGGGTGGTCAAAGGCGAGGTAGGTTTGTTTTCCCCCTAGTGGCTGCAGCCCTGCGGGCAGCCGTGCTCGTCGGAGACGTCCCAGCAGTTCCAGTTTTTGCCGAAGAGGCTAAAGGTGGCGCGCAGTGCCTCGTTGTCGATGCGACGTCCGAGGCCTGTGACGAGTGTGAATCGTCCTCGTTCTCCTCGGGGCGGGTCTCGCCGGACGAGACAGCGCTGTCTCCGTAATCGTGCTCGTGGGGGGAGTCCGCGAGGCTGTCGCGCGGGCTGTCAGCGAGGCCGTCGCGGGGGCCGTCGCAGGGGCAGGTGTGGGGGCTGTCGTGGTTGCCGTGGCCGTCTTCGCGCCCGCCTTGGCCGTCGCCGTCGCGGGGGTCGGCGCGGGGGTTTGTCGCGGGGTTCGCCGTCGCTGAGGTCGTCGCCCAGAGGCCGTCATTGAGGGCGTCGTGGGGGGCCGTCGCGGGGTCGCGGGGCAGGGGGCCGTCGGTTCGGTTGTCGTGTCGTCGGCCCAGCAGTCCGTGAGGGAAGCGCTGTCCGCGTGGCCGTGGGACGTCGTCGCAGGGTTCGTCGCTGGGGCCGTCGCCCGGGCGGTCGCGGGGGGCCGTCGCAGGGGACGTCGCGCAGAGGCCGTCGTAGGGGTTCGTCGTCGTGGCGGGTCGCGGGGGCGTTGGGGTTGAGTGGGAGGTCGCGGGGCCATCGTCAGGG